AATCTTACTCGAAGGTAAAATGCAGGAGGTAGGATGAATATTGTTAATGTCGTACCAATTGCGCCTACGAATCCCCAAACCATTGCAACCTGGAATCAAGAAATATCATCGTGAGTCAAGTAAAGAAACCATAGCTCATTGCGATAAGCATATCGAATCGTGTTGATTCCTCAATCACTCCAGCAAAATATTCATTTTTGTGGTACAATATGTTTGCGCTCAGGTAATTTGTTTAATCATGTAACAATGGTGTATACTATTAGTGGCTCCAGCGTGGATATTCGCCCTTTGGAAATACTTAGCTTTAAATCTACCGACAGTCGATTAAGGTAGGGTCGCGTGTGGTCTGTTTATTGGGTGGACGTGTTTATTGTCAAATAAGGAAAAATCTGGTGTTTTTCATTTGATATTCCTCATCTCTTTAGTAACTTCATGAGACATTTTCCATTTGTAAACACTATTGGAAAAAAACTGCACAAACATGCATCAACTGGAACTAGCGAAAAAAGCGGGAAAAGTGTAATTCAGTATTAAGTTCGCAAGAAACAGTTAACATTTCCTCAATTCAATCTTCTCTGTAGGAGGCATTCAGAATTAAATAAGAATTTATAATAAAAGTACAGGTAAAAAAGTAATGTAGACACGATCGACGGAGGAAAATCAGTTGCCATCTTCCATATTTTCGACAGATATCTTAAATTTTCACTCGATCAAACTCGGTGCATAATGGTCTCCTATTTGATAACGCCTAGCGCGCAAAGCATTGTTAGCCGATGGTAAGTGTCCTCCTCTGGTTCTTATGGATGTGGAGGGACTTCGCCCTTTGTAAATTTTGATAGATAAACTTCTCTTTAAAAAAGTACTTTTAAAAGTGTCCAAAACTTACCTGAGGTATATAATAGGCCAAGACATAGCTAACAAACACAAAGAATACAGTTTCGATGAACCAGACGACGCGTGAAGGACCAGTCAAGACGGGATTTGATATGAAGCTCATTGTACGTGATATTGAATTAGATGTGACAAGYACTGGTGATGAATGTTCTTTCCAGATAAGCTACAAATGAAACAACTCCGTTAATATCAAACTATAGTTATTTTTCCTTTTCCCCTTTCTTTTTAGCACTATTATTGGAAAGTCTGTCCTTATACCAAAAGCTTGTTACAGTAGTAAATTTTGTAATGCAAAAACGTGAATTACGAGAAACGAAAATGCATGGGCGGATTCAGGGAAGGGAAAAAGGGGGGATTTTCTCACCCTCTTTTTCTTACTTAAAGTCCGGTGCTCTAGACTTCTAGAATTTCTTCAAAGACGATAATGAAAAAATTCAAAATAAAACCGTACATAATATGTATATATTATATTTTTTTGACACACGTCACAATATTGGGAATCTCGATCCTGAAAAGTTCACGCTCGCAAAAATATTGCTAGACAAGTATTTTTAAAATATATTTGGATCAGTAAATTCCCTCTCTGGCAAATTTTTGGATCCGCCCCTGTCGAGCAACATCTTTGCTAATCTTGTTTTAAAACAAAGTCTCCCGTCTTTACACTCCCGCAACAAGAAAGGCAACAAAGCTGACATTTCTTTCAAGTTACTGACAAAGTTGTTGCTCAACGTGGAAAATGGATCAACTTTGTGCCACGAATTTTCTGTTTGCTTGTCGTTTTTCATAACACACCCACATTTCCATGGCGTGTTTTGAACAACTTGTTGCAATTTCTTTTGTTTTTGTTGCTGTTTTGTTGCTTTGCAAGTTGCATCAGTTGGATTGAAAACTAAGTGTCGCTTTCAAACTTGAGCAGCAGTTGCGCGCGTCATGTTTCTCGCATTTCCGGGTTTTTTTTCTTACTCTATTAACGATGTCTCGACAAGGAAAGATCAGCAGAGGAAAGCTGAGTAGCARAGTGAACGCCAAGGCGCACCTTCCGACAGTAATAACAATATTATCGTGTGCGAAGTTCCTTGTGATGTCCTGGTCTACAAAGTTACGAAACTGCAATAAAATAAACAAGAGATACAATATGAAAATGCGGAGATGAAACTCAAAGAATACACCGGAAACAGATGCATGGCACGATGAATTTCTTCAAAAAAGCAAACTTGAAAAGACCTTGCTTTGTGACATAACAAAAACCCTTGCCGTCGACGAGACTCACCTGCATAAAACCAAAAAAGCTTACAAGGACATTCAAGCAGTAAGTAATTCCCATAGCGGAGTACAGGATAATTCGCTTATTGGTTCTCGTTTGATAACGCAGTTCGCTGTGCATGGGAAGAATGTTGAAGTGACAAGCAAACGTGAGTGAGGTTATAGCCACGGAGGTAAGCACACCTCCCAAGTCYGTAGGCCACCATTTGACGGGGTTTTGAGGTTTGTCGACGGGTCCACCGATGTCYGAGGCAATTGATTGATGTATGACAGCACCAGCCAGGAACATTACACATATAACACTAAATAYAAAAAGTAAAACGCTGTAAAAAGCTCAAACCTTTAGGTCCAAACGTTTCAATCCAAGATTAAATTAATTAAACCAAATGCGCAAATTTTTAGTCACTATTCTATCTGTAAGTTAATATTTTGATCTAAAAATGTTTCACTACTGTAATGGCTGCAACAGAAACAGAACGCATTCTTATCTTGACAGAGAAAAAGGTTCGCTTAACAGCTTAAATTTTCTATAATTTTTAGTTTTTGTTTTAGTTTGTGCAGCGTATAGACTAATACTATGGAAATCTGTCTTAGACAAAGTCGGAAATATAATTCAATATTGATAAAAACTTTAAGATSTGCCTTACCTTAAGAATGAAGTGAACTTCAAAGCACTCATGCTTTTTAGTAATGTTATAGGGAATATTACAAGTACAGGTATTGTGAGAACCACRATCTTCTGAGACCAGAATGAATGCTGACCACAAGTTAAGATAAAGATGGGCTGTAACTATAAAAAAAAAAACAAATTCTATACAATGAAATCATGTATGCATTTTTATACAATTTTATACTTGGGAAACACATGTCACRTTACTAGCTCACAACAAAATTTATAACTGAGACAAAGTCTAGCCATCTCAGATACATGAAGCACAGAAAAATGCAGTACACTACATGTTTCTGAATTTAGCCAAACATTGAATATGACAAGATAGCTTTCAATAAATACAATATTCTTCTTCATGCACTATCTTGAAAGGTAGCCATGCCTTTGCATCAAAAGCCAGATGACCGTTAAGCGTGCAATGATAGAAACCTTCTTTCACATCTCCAGGCAATTATTTTCAGGTTTCTACCATTGCACGCTCAATGGTTGTCTCGCTTCAATGCAAAGGAACGGCTACCTTTCAAGATGGCACTCATAACCGTGAAGGAGACTATTATTATTATTATTAATTTCAACATGCTTATTTCTGCCTTCATTATTTTAAAGGCAATAGAAGATCTCWCATTGTTACAGTTCTTGTGTCAACTGAACAGAAGCTTATATGATGTTTCTAGTCTCACTTTACCTGRTCTGTAATTAGAATCCAGTAAGCAACAGCACAGAGAAACAATGTCACRATAAGAACAAGTTGTGTGAGGACCTGAAAAGAAATGATTAACTTGGATATTATTAAGAGTTCCTCTTCAGACACTTTTTTTGGGGAAGGGGTGGTTTTTACTCAGTATGGGTGGTATCAGGCATCAATTGATATGGATTACACAGTTACTTAACATATAAATATGAAATTTACCTCTCCTTTATAACCAAAAGCAATTCTCCCTACATCCTCAACATTTTTAATTCTTCCTTGACAATATTTCTTGCTATTTATGATTAGAAAACCACCATGAGTCGAGGCCATAAGGACAAATATCAGTATTAACGAAGTCATAAAAAAGCCGCCTTGTTGGAAAGCAAAGGGAAGTGACAGCACTCCTCCACCAATCATTGTGGAGACAAGTGTAAAAATTGATGATAGTATTGTCCCACGGCGTCCATGATCTTCCCGGTTGTTAAGGATCGGAGTAGATTCTGTTACAGTTAAATCATCAGCATTTGGGTCATTGATGCTCATCTTTTGTTTTGGAGAGGTGGAATTCTGTTCAGTTCTGGAAAAAAATGAAACTTTGACATTATCTTAATGGCATTACCAATATAGTTACACTTTTAGTGGTATTAAGGGATTTAATTGAGTTTAATATTGTATATAGGTATCATGTATTATAGGCATCATATTTTGTGTTGTATTGTTGGATCATATAGTTTCAACCAGGTTACATATTACTGCTTCTTTTATTTCAAATCTTCATCGTTTATCTTTCATCAAAACCCAAAATGGTTCGACCAAAACCTCAATCAATATGCCCTGGTAGTGGRACATCAAAATCAGGGCACACATTTGGTTCAACAAGCCATTCTTGCAYGTTTAAGGAAAGTTTGCCACCATATGATAGCCTGCAGTTGCACATACTCTAGTGGAACATGGGATTATGGGTGGCTTATAAATCCATTCACAGGAAATACTTTGATAACAASATAACGTTAGCCTGTTTTCATGATATGGCAAATCTTTTTGTAGGACTGAGGTAAAACAAAATCATTTTTAAAGATGCCCATAACACCCTTTGCTCTATAGCTTTTAGAAAGTAGTAAATCATTTTTCTCTTTTTTTATTTATTCTTCTTCCATCTTTAAAGTTAGAAAGGAGTGACTCTCTTAGCAGGTATAAGAAGTTTGTTTTATTGGCAATTCTTTGAAATGATTAATATTCATTTTATCAGTAGTTTTTCTAATAAATGTCTCTGCAATGTTTAGCAACTATATTTACAAGGGGTTCGATTTTTTGTGCTGTAGAGAGTGACATTTTCAATTGTTCACTAGTGATGCCTGCCACTGGTTGTTAAATTATAACAGCTGATTGACCAACAGCTAGCAGAACTTAATATAAATATTCATGACAGGCAAGCTTGTTATGCTATAAGGTTTAGTTTTTATGCGGGCATGAAAATTTGTATTGATCTCATTTAAATTTATAGATTTTCTACATTAATTTCATCAAATGTTTAAACTGCAATAATATATTATAATTATGTAACATCTATACAGCATATAATCTAATATAATTATATAGAGCTTTTTCATGTACAAATTGCATCAGCCATTAACTGTTATCATTCTAGCATAGTTGCAGATCACTGTTCAGTTCTAAAGCATACATAACAAGAACAATTTAGATTTATTAGACACATTTAATTACCACTTACTGGGTAACGTTACGTTTCGGATTAGTTTACTTTTCATATAGCCCAAGCAATCTAAACAAAAAACTTTAATAAACCAGAAAAGAAGAAGAAGACGTTGTCCACTTACCTTGTCGCTTGGGTATTGCTGGRGGTTTCTGGAATRGCTTCGTAGTAATYTCTGTCCATAATATTAAATAAAAGTCCTTTTCTGAGCAATATTTGGAGGACTGTCGATTGCAACACAGTACTCTTTCCAGAACAAGACCGGATGTGAGCTCATCGCTCTTGGACAATTTTACTTCCGGCGTGGATAATTTTTCTAGATTATCAATTTTCAAATTGGTTAAAAAAAAATGAACATCATAAAAAAAACTATTTTCAAGTTTTTTCAATCTATTGAGAATGTTGGGGATCGAATGTTTCTTTGAGCTCGTTCGGGTTGTTTTTATTTCATTAGTTCCAGTCTTCTCGATTGATTAATATTGCGCGGTTGTTGACGTCACTTTTTCAATTGGGTGGCTACCAAGCAGGAAAGTGTGGAAGAACTTGCAAAGCATTTGGTTTGTAGAGAGAGAGAGGGCTGGACAAAAATGAATGCCTTAAAAACCTGGAGGCAGTTATGTCGGCTTAGCCATCAGCAGGTAAAAATGTACTTAATRAACAACGTATTTATTGACCTGTACTGACAACGATGCCAAGATTAGCGCGAATTATAAGTACAGTTCAGTCAGTACCATCGATTATTAAATGCCAGCAAGCACATTTTGCAACCGTTTGAAGGTTTTGCTTCTCTTCTCTCCAGAGGTTATTTGTGCAGGCCACATATAGCTCGTCAATGCTTTCAAGAAAACAGTCAACACAATCTTCATTGGTAAGTGTGATTGATCACATTTTGCAGAGCATTTTAAAGACTTGGAATACTGCACACAAATGTTACATCAGACATGCACCTGTGTAAAAGCTTTTCTGTAGTCGTTCCTGGACGTACATTTTCATATTCAAATGATGTTTATAATGACTTAAAATTTTAGAGTCTCAAAGACGCCCTTGAGCGAGTGGTTCCTGAGAAACAAAAAGAAGTCCTTGAATTTAGGAAGAAATATGGCAACGAAAAGCTTGGAGAATACACAGTGGACCAGGTATTGTACAAAACAAGTTAAACAGTTATAAGTTAACCCATTTGAAACCTTTGTTTGTATTGATGCCTGCTTAGCACATCCCTTGTTTATATGTTATAATAGAATTTCATTTGGATCACAATTTCACTCATTAAACTTTAATATGTTTTTTTTTTTTTTTTTTTGAATAAAACTGATTTTTTAAAGAATTGTCTTCTTGGGATTGATCTCTGATGTAATTTATATAATAAAAAAGTAAAGTTTTTAAGATAATCAATAATAGCCTAGAGGATTTATATCCTTCAGGATGCAATTTTATTTAAACTTGCCAATCTGAGGTACAATAGGAGCATTAAGTAATACATGTATAAAGGCAACTGTTTAACCTTACAAGACCTATAACATGGTCAACCACTTTAGTAGCACCAGTCACTCTGATTTTGATATGTCACACAAGGGCAAAAGAACCACAATCTTACATAAGACAACATTACCAATCACTGAGTCTCTTGTGTGTGCCTTGCTGTGATGACCCCTCCCTCTTACATTTATATCATGTGCGATATCAACAATGAATAAATTTGGATTTTTTTCTTCACTTTATGAATCACATTTAAGACTCCTATAAATGGTAATGAAACAATATTTAGAAGAACTGTAACTTATCACCATTTGTAGTTTAGCAATTTTTTCAGACAACTGTTGTTTTTTTTTACCTTGTAGGGCTTGATGAATTCACTGCTTGTCAGGTCTTTCTTGAATGTTATAATAAGCAATGTGATATATTTTATCTTTGCAGGCTTATGGTGGAATGAGAGGTATCAAGGGATTAGTTACTGAGACATCCCATCTAGACCCCATAGAGGTAGTTTTTCTATTTCCTTTTACTTCTATTTTGATGTGACTTTTCGATTATTCATTATATTTACATGTACAAGCATATAAGCACACGTACGACCTTGGTCGACTTTTTATTAAAAAAAGATATTGCCAAGAAATATTTTACCTCTTCTATGATATACTTGTTTAGCTTATTAATTATTACTTCTATTTTGTCTAGGGTATTGAGTTCCGTGGTTACACAATTCCACAGTGCCAAGAAGTAAGTTTATGATTACTTTAAAAGTAATCATATGAAATCACAACCATGTTATCATATTTTTTCATTATAATAATATATTATTAGCAATTGTTTTAAATTTCACAATTAAAGTTGCATGAATCTGKTTCTTTGTTACAGCTTCTTCCAAAGGCTGAAGGYGGAGAGGAACCCYTACCTGAAGGTCTTTTTTGGYTGTTGATAACRGGAGAAATACCAACAAAGGAGCAGGTACAACTTCMTTGRGACACTTATTAAAAAATTGCATTTTATTGTGAAATGAATTGGATTTTATTTAGCTATAGCAACAAAAAGAAACTTTCAGGTTTACTGGCTTTTTTTCCCTCCAGGTTGTAAACTTGTCTCATGAGTGGGCAGCCAAAGCAGATCTTCCCCAACATGTTGTACAAATGCTGAATAACTTTCCWGATACCTTGCATCCTATGAGTCAGTTCAGTGCTGCTATTACAGCCATGAACAGCGAGAGCAAGTTTGTACAAGCTTATAACTCTGGTGTTCCAAAAGCTGATTACTGGAGGGTATGTCAGTAGCCATGTAAAATAGCAGAAAAAAATTTCAAGTGGTAACAGTCCCTCATTCATAGTTTATCTTGATTATAAATTCATTGTATATTGTGTAGTTGTCAAAAAGATCCTTCCCCTGTTAGGAATTGTTAAAAAAGTGAGAATTGTTAAAAAAACTTTTATTATGAATACACCATTTTCTAATTGAAAGCAAACAACCACTTTTGTAATTGATATCAGATTCTCTTGCACAAAGGCCTTTGCAGAAAACAAAAGAAAGCATGAGAAAATGTCGTTATTACAATAGCCCAATGAATTTGCATTTTCCATCAGTTGAGGCTAAACCTGTATTCCCAAAAGGATTATTTCCAATAATGGAGAATTATTGATATTATTGAAAATGGAGTATTATTGATATTATTTTTTGTTRAAAAACAGTATGTGTTTGATGACTCTATGGAGCTGATTGCTAAGCTACCCACCTTGGCTGCATACATCTACCGTAACTTATACAAAGATGGTAAAGTTGCGCCCGTCGACCCTAACAGTGACTGGTCAGCTAACCTGGCAACCATGTTAGGATTTGATGACAAGATGTTTACTGAATTGATGCGGCTTTACTTGACAATCCATACTGACCATGAGGGTGGTAATGTCAGTGCACACACTTGTCATCTTATTGGAAGTGCTTTGTCTGATCCATATCTCTCCTTTGCTGGTGGTATGAATGGTCTTGCWGGACCCCTTCATGGATTAGCCAATCAGGTACTTATCATGGGTTGCTGTTAGAAGAGTAGATTTGGTATGAGTGTGTAAACTGTGCTTTTGTGCAGTAATTATGTGATTTCTACAACATCAATGCCAAGCAAATGTTTCCATTGTTGATCATGCCATGTACAAATATAGTCTTTGCCATGAAGCTGTCACATAGTCATACATATACACCCTTTTAATAAGTCCCAAAGTATTACGTTCTCTGCACTTGACGTCAAATTTATTCTTTTCAATTTCTTTTGTATTGTAAAAATTTCAAAAGAATACATTTGACGTCAAATGCGGAGAAAACAATACCTCGGGACTTATTAAAAGGGTGTATAAATAAAACCTGCTCTGACTATTAATATCAGTAGTAGTGCAGGGGAAATATTGCAACACTATTGTTGCCAACAGTCAAACATAATGCATACATATTTGGAGGCTGTAGAGAACACCAAAAGTTAAGCACAGTTTACTGTTGATGTAAGTGAGTCTGTCTTGGGTTTTCCTGTGTTTCAATGTTGATGGAACTCAATGCTGTAGTACTAATATTTTGTGGTATTTTTTGAATCCATAGGAAGTTCTAGTATGGCTGACCAAGTTAAGTGAAGCACTTGGACCTGACCCATCTGATGAGAAAGTCAGAACTTTTATTTGGGACTCTCTTAAGGGAGGAGTAAGTATATTGATATTCACCTTAAATTATTAACCTAGGATAATATAACCATTTATTATACAGTATACATATCGATGAGATACCTAGTTTCTCCAGTTGTGAAAATGCAATATTTTGAACCATGAAAAGATATATTTCTCACATGTGAAGATATCACTGTTGGCATGTCGAACAATTAGATCAATTGTATATAATAGATCGATGTGTATGTAATAAATAGAACGCTGCGCCCATGTAATATCCTTTATACATGTATAATCTTGAATAAGTGTTTGCCAAGATTTTGTGAATAATATCCTATTTTTAGTGGTTTCTCCAAATGAAATGTTAGTGTGACTCCAGTTTTATTTGAGGCTCCTTCACAACTTACATCTAAATGATTTTTGAAAACAACATAAAAAATTTACTTGCCTTCTGCTAGTTGTACATCATGTTAATACCTTATACTAGATCTATATGTGTCATATCTATATGTGTCATATCTACATATATATTATACAAAGTACCATGCAATATCAATGATTATAAAATTTTCGATATATAACGCGCACTCTGATTGGCTGACGACCGTGTTTATATCAGAGGACAGAGACACTGCTTACCGGCAAAATTTTCTTTTCGCACAAAAAAGTTTATACAAGAAATATAAAACGGCCGCTTGTGTCTCTGTCCTCTGATATAAACACGGTGGGAGTTGAAAAACACTCGAGAAGCAAGAGAAACACTCGCTACGCTCTTGTTCCTAAGCTTGCTTCTCTCGTGTTTTTCGAACTCCCACCGTGTTTATATCAGAGGACAGAGACACACGCGCCGTTTTATATTTCTTAAAGATAGTGTATGTTGTAATGTCAATCCATCTAATGTTATTTTTGTCTTCTACAATTCAGAAAGTTGTTCCAGGATACGGTCATGCTGTTCTCAGAAAAACAGATCCTCGATACTCATCTCAACGTGAATTTGCCCTCAAACATCTTCCTGATGATCCAATGTTTAAGCTGGTGAGTCAGGTTTACAAGATTGCCCCAGATGTTCTCCTTGAACAAGGCAAAGCCAAGAACCCATGGCCAAATGTTGATGCCCATAGCGGTGTGCTTTTGCAGGTAGGTGTTGGTCACAAACACTTTTAGAAGCAAACACAGATGCAAATTACAGTGCGAATAGGAAAGCTGTGACTGCCTAGAGATATTTTGAGAATGTTTATTGTTCATTGATCATTCAGAAGCAGGGTTAAACTGTCCTCGATGTGCATTTGCACATGCAATTAATTGTCAATAAAGAACACTTGTCTGACACCAAGAATTGATGCACTTTAGCTMAGAAATAGTACATAGTAAATAGTAGTAAGTTTCAATGTTTTGAATAGGTACAAAGTTTGTTCATATTTGTTTTTCATACTCCTTTCTTGTGTTAGTGCTAGATTAAAGTCACTTTTCAAGTACACATCCCTCAAATAATAATGAAGGGGAATTACCACTGGCTGATCCAGCACTAGTTTACCAATTTGCATCAYGAAAGACRTAAAAMAAATCCGTGAAAATGGACCATTTTGATTTATGATGCAAATTAGTGAACTAGTGCTGGATCTGCCAGTGTTTACACTGTAAAATAGATGATTGGTCATRCACAAAAGAATTGAAGATGATGCTCTAAGGAAACAATATATAATCATTTTGCAAATCAAACAGAATTTCAGAAGTGGAATATTTAATATTAAGTTGTTTTCAACTCAAAAGGCAGTGGCCAATAGTATTGGATTATTAAATGCTGTGACGGCTGCCAAGAATTAACTCACATTACCATTTTACTGCACATGAAAAAATAAAATCAAGGGAAAATACATTTTTTCAGTAGTTAAGGCACTTAGTGACTATGGGAGAGCACATCAAACAGCAATAAATTAGTTAAAAAAAATTTTCTGTGTTAGCAATACATGTATAATAATCCTGCTTTATTCCTTTATTCCTTCAGTACTATGGCCTTACCGAGATGAATTACTATACTGTCCTGTTTGGRGTGTCTAGAGCTCTTGGAGTCCTGGCTTCCTTAGTTTGGGACCGTGCCTTAGGGCTTCCAATTGAAAGACCAAAGAGTATGACAACTGAGCTTCTCAAGAAGCATGTTGGGGCATCRTAATGTTACACTGCTGAAAACAGAAATATGTCAATGAGAAAATGGTTCAAGGATTTTTTTATGGAGACAAACCTGGCATGTAAATTTTCACTTTGTTTAAGCTAAAGTATCTAGGGAAGTATTGCCTGCAGTTTTGTCAAACCTCTAACAGCTATAGTGAARTGACATGTACATGTAGGAATACACCGCAATCTAAATGCTTAACAATAATCAAGCTAATAGTCTTTTGTGAAATACTTTCCAGTAAATTACTGCCAGCTTGCTGGCATTGTGTGTATCTCAAGGCAAACAAATAAATTTTACCAATTTTGTCTGTTTAATGTTGTCTAATTTTATATATTTCTGTCAGACTTAATTCCATTGTTTGAGCAATAGGAGAGATTGTCTAACAATAATGCAACTACATGTAAATAGCTTGATCATATTCTTAATTTTCCATTTATGCTCTATGRATGGATATATTTTGAGATGTGATCATGACCAACAAATGAAAGAGAACAAAAAATGAATTAGATATTGCAAATACTGACTTCTTCACCTCATGAAGTTGATCAAGGTCCGTAGGGACAAGGGTTCAGACAGGGGTTCAGACAAAAAAAATTCAGACCATTAAAAAAATTAGAAAGTATAGCATTAAAACTCCTGTCTGTAAAATTCTTCTTTTGAGGACCCTTATGAAAATCACCTTTTGTGATAAGGCTTCCTTGTTAATATTATTATTATTATCTTAGGTTATGTGAGGTACATGTGTATGAAAGATCGAGATTTTACACTAAACAAATGACTACAATGGTAATGCGTACTAGAGTTTTTTTCAATTTTTGGATGAATATCATTTGGGCTTCCTGTTTTCTGCATACTCAGAGTGATACTGGGGCKAGCTTGTACAAAATTGCACGCCGGGACTGTCTCTTCCTCTTGTAGTCTTCGTCCATCTTCATCGACGACTGACTTTCCAATTTGTCCTKTAAAAATGGGTTTCGGTGATCTAAAAACTCAATCTGGCTTACAAGCACTCAATAATTTTCTCCAAGATAAAAGCTATATTGATGGGTAAGTGGTAGTTCTAAAGTTAGATGTATAGAAATATTGCTTTTTATGAATGGAATATTTGGCCACACGTGTAAGATGAAATGTTTATAAGATTGAGACAAAGTTTAAACTTGACTATCTTTTTAAGAATTGAGTTTACAAATATAAAGATATTAGTATATCATGCGATGTATTTAGCTTAGAAAGTTTATTTGTAATTTAGGTGAGTTTGATATTTTGTACATAAGTTGAAATTGTACTAGAAACGAAGTTATAATTTGGAAGCCACAAAATAATCCCATTTTAATACTCATTCATTCTTCGTCCTTTGATTCTGGTTTTCTTGGAATAAAATAATTTTGTCGCAGTTATTATTAAATGATGGTCAATGATGTTTCAACATATTCTTGGTTGGCTAAATGCCTTYAACGTGTTTGATGCTTTATACATGTACCTAACCATTTGCCCAAACAGGAAATTATTTGGTTYTTTAACAAAGTTTAATGGTCTTTGGTCATTAACATCCCCTTATTTGTCTGGGGACTTAAACATGGAATTGATTTTCTCTTCTTAGTAAACTGTTACTGGCCTGTGTTAAGAATATCCATCTCTCTCTGTTTTCTTCAGCGATCATTGTTTCTTACCTAGATTTCAGGCTCCCTTTCTTTCTTTTGCAATGATCTTAGGCTACAATCGTGGACATAAATGTTGACAATTTTTACACACGTACGAAATTTCTAACATTCTTTGTCGATAAAACCTTACTTGTGCCCCCTCTTCCCCCAATACAATGTTGTGTGGCTTGCTTTTCATTGGTTGTCCATTCATTAACCCCTGCATGCAACATTGATGYGGGAGGGGAGGGAGGGAAGGGGAATATTTTCAGTTTATGCACACGATACAGTATTTGTAATGCACRAGCGAAAAATTGTCAAGTATTTATGTCCAAGATTGTAGCTAATTATTTTCAAAAATCAGAAAAAAAGAATCAATGATTAGGTTTCTAGTTGATAAATTGATTGGCTGATTTTTGATTAGTTGATTGATTGATTGATTGATTGATTGGGTGATTGATTGACTTTGTTTTGTTCCAGCTATGTCCCATCGCAAGCTGATACAGTTGTCTTTGAGTCTATGAGTGGCTGTCCTGACAGCAGTCTTCCTCATGCTCTTCGTTGGTACAATCATATTTCATCATATGGATCAGAAAGAACGTCCTTTCCTGGTGATCAACAAAAGGCAAAAAATCAGCATCTTGGGAATGCTGTTACTAATGGCAATAGCAAACCAGCTGACGATGATGATGATGACGATGATGAGGACCTGTTTGGTTCTGATAGTGTAAGTTTTATATGCAGGTCCATGAGCTCAAGTAGCTGGACCCATAATCAATTTTCACTTTTTGGGCCTCAAAAATGGGACACAGGAAGCCCAAAAATAAAGTGAAGCAAAGACAGTGATGAAAGACAGTCAAAACATAAGACTAGAATAAAAACATAATCACATGTTCTTGATGACTGAAATACTGTTACATCATATCTTAACAGGAATCAGAAGATGAAGAATCAAAGAAAATCAAACAAGAAAGACTCGACGCTTATTACGCCAAGAAAGCCACAAGTATGTATCATGTAGGCTAACCAGACATCGCCATTCACCATTCATGGTTTAACCAAGTGAAACAAAACAAAACAAAAACACTTTTCTCAATTCTTTTTGTTTTGTTTTGCTCAAATTTGACCTGCCRCATAGTGTTATGTGGATACTAAAGCAAAAGCTGATTTCAAATCCTTAGCCAAACACAAAAGAATGAAGATGAGAGACTGTGCGTAAAGCTCAGTCAATTGTGAAAATCTAATGTCTTTCCAAGAATGACTGAGCTTTGTGTATGGCGGTYCGTATTGATTCCTTTGTGTGACTACTGAGGCAAAATTCGCAAGTTGGCTATTAGACCATTAGCTCTCATGGACTATGAACTTATAATCAACTCCACCTTGTAGTCTAATTGTTAAGTGAACATCGCAGTTTTGCAGCCAATTTCCTCTTTATTTAATATAGATGTATGAAATCAAATATTCAGTCTAGTATTTTCCACATGATATTGAATTCAAGACTAAAATCATCTTTTGTTTTATATGATTGATAATAAACAACATGCCATGGACTCATTTTGTTTTTGTTTTTTATGTATGGAATTAATGSGATTGACTGTAAATATGATTCTWTTTGTGYTAATAGAAAAAGCTGTAATTGCAAAATCAATGATCACTCTCGACGTAAAACCCTGGGATGATGAAACAGGTGAGGGTCATCACAAAAAGATCAATTGAGGATCATTTATGAATCTTTATGTTATCACTTGAAAGCCACTTTAGGATCATTAGACAATCCCTTGAGGATCATTTGATGATCACTTGAGTGAGTATCACTAGAAGATTTCGTAGGGATCATTTAAGGAACACTAGATTTTCACTTGAAAATCATTTTTGTGAACATTAGACAATCACTTGATGATCATTAGATGATCGATCAGCGAAAGATCTCTTGAGATCACTAATGTTCGCTAGTTAATGAGGATTGACTGTATGTAGTAGGATTGGGCATGGTACTCAATTTTTCCGTAAAGTCGATCTGCGTTTATCTTGATATTTGATTTTTGTATTATTATCATTATTAGAYATGAAAGAAATGGAAAAACTCGTGCGTACAGTCGAATGTGACGGTCTTGTGTGGGGAGCCTCGAAGCTCATACCCTTGGCCTATGGAATCAAAAAGCTACAGATTGCTTGCGTCGTTGAAGATGACAAGTGTGGCTCGGAATATCTATCAGAGAAAATTGGTGAATTTGAAGATCTTGTTCAGTCTGTCGATGTCGCATCGTTCAACAAATTGTGATGCTCTTTTTACAAGGACAATAAATTGCTTTGACTAGTGTGTTGTGTATGGAGTTTGATATCTTTGAAATGATGCATCGTTACATCATTATTATCATCTTTGAAGTGATACTGCTCATCTTACGTCCGGTCAATGGATATGGGCTGGTATCCTACTAGTAGAGTAGCCAATCAGCACGCGAGTTCACTCATATCCGTTGGTCGTGGGAGTAATAATCTTAAGAGTTGATTAACACTACGACATAAAGCAGAAGCGCAAGATTTTTGAAGTGTTCATCGCGGGCAAAACAGAATCATAAGGCAAGGATGTTTACATTCATTTATGCTTCTGCATAAAATAYTGCGAATGGGAATCGGCGCAAAAACAGGCAAATTCTCGAGTGTGAATAATTTCTGCATGTGCCGAAGTGTGAACAGGATCATGTTTCGACATCATTGCTGATCAACTGCCAATGTCTTAATGATTGTCATGTTCTCAGTTTTAGTGAAAGATAGTGAAGACAATATTCTTATCGACTTAATATCACTAGAAGGTCAAGTTTAGGATTTGGAAGGCAGTRATTGAGAAGCTTAAAGGTAGAAACGGTAAAGCGAGACCACACAAGCGGGCTTTAACATGTCGGTCAATTATGTATCAATACTAGTCTTAATGGGGTGAAAATATTCCTCTCGAGGGCACAGAATCCCTAAGCCGTCAAAGGATCGTTCTTAGGATAAAATGAATTTTACCTCCTACAGGGTGATAGGGGTGCGGTAGTACAGCTTTTAAAACTCACGTCATCAATTGTATCGAATACTGTTTGCATTGTTTGGTTTTTACTGTGACGTTAGGTGAARTTTCAACCAATTAATCGACATTGTTCCTATTTGAATAAAACTTTCATCAGTACTGAGAGGAGATTACTGATTCCTGTAAAGTTTTTAAAGACTAGTTCGCTTTTTTTATCGTTAACATCCATCGTGCTCTCCAGAGSTAGAGCCTGTCGCAAATGTTGAGTAGAGTAGTAGAGCATCTTGGAATAATCATTGTAAAGGTATCCATCTATCTTTGCAACTGATATCACTGTTTCACTTCCAAAAGTTTCAACTTGACAGGGAACTCTGCCGTTTCACATGGATTTTCTTCAAACTTCCCTTATGTAAAGACTTCCTGTTACTATCAGGAAAGCTATAAATTCAAGTTCAGGCTTTTATTGAAAAAAAAAACTTTAAAAGTTGATATGAGATTAGCGGGGCGGGGCTACATAAGGTTCGATCACGTAAAGTTTGCACTCTGAGAAGATTCAATCTTTTGGTGAGCTGTAAACCAAAGCGGCTCCATAGGTCAAGGACTTAGCCCTGTCGTTATAATTGTACAAAGTTGGTCAGTTGAGTCTCTGACCAACAATTGGCGGGCAATTCACATAGCAATTGGCAATACAGACTAGTRTCTTTCACAGTCTTCACAGGCAGTAATGCAAAACTTTTTCGATTGGTTTCCTGGCTGGCTACAAGTTCATAACAAATGGTAATTTAAATTCGACCGCCATTTTTCGCCATCTCCGGTCCATTTCCTTTCTTTATAGTCTTTTGCCCATTTATTTGAGTGGTTGATTGATAAAAAATGAATTCAAACTATATTTTGGCTTTTTTAGTCTAGCGGTGATGTGCAGCAAACACCATGTCATTATTCCCCATTCTGACTTAAGTCGATAAGAGTTTTATCTCGCGTCCCTCATCTCACTCCTGTCAGTGAGCGAGATCATAATTTGTTTAGAATTTTTTTCCGAAATTAAAGCAGCTATCACATATCACGCAATCGGCGTTTCTATCGCATAATCCAGCGCATTGTGACGAWCCTCGCGTGATATTCAATTAAGATATTATGTAGTGATTATTCTGATTTAACTTCCCAGGGGTTACAGAATTCTTCGTGAATGCCGTATAACAGTCTCGCTTTATAGTTTCCTTTAAAAGATAGTTGACAAGGTATGTAATCTTTTTTCGATTCTTTCTTAGTTTGTCCGTTTCCCGTTTAGTTTGTTTGGTATTAGACAAGCAGCTAATATCTGTAATGATATCACGACTTGTAAATGTTTAATGGCCTGACTTCAGAATACATATTCACTGGCAGTGTGATTATATGGAAATGRTGCCGTTTWAAACCATAGATAGACGCATAATTGCCGAACAAAGCTAGTTTCKCTGGAGATGAGAAAGTCTTGCATAAAGYTAGAWTTTTTTCTTACCACATGACGCTCTTAAAAGGCAAGACTTCGAGATTTTCTGGAGCAGTGTTTTTGTAATGCGATACTTTGGAGGAGACATCAAATACTCTTCCTCCCTGTACTTAATGCACTCTTATTCACTCTTGGACTTAATTCTCCCGCAATTTGAAATGATGATGCCAGGGTCCCTCTATGCAATCACACAGCATTCACGTACATGATATTCCCATTTTACAAATTAATCAAAAAAACTCTATTCGTTTGGTCATTTATTTTACGGTATAATCACGCAATTAAGTGTACAATTCGCGCAAAAAGTATAGGAACTCTGTGTCGCTGAGTGTAGAATCGGCCAACCATTGTTGCGTTACACGATCAAAGTTTGTGGCGAAAAATTTTGAAACAAAAGGGATCGTACTTTTGATCAAAAGTACATGACTAATTTGTATGAAGGTCTCGGTTTTTACGAAACCATTCATTTGAAATACAAGATAGGCTGTGTAGAGCCTTTTCAAATTTTTGCCCATTTTACCTTCTTTTTCATTTTCATTTTGTCCAGTTTGATCATGTACTGTTTAGCTTCCCTTGCGCTTTGTTTGACTTAAACTGCCGATGAAATGTCACTTAGTCGGAGTAGTATATCCAGTACACTCCCTGCCTTATATTAAGAGTCTGTGTCTGTCTTCCGCTGTCAGGCAGTCAATTACACCAAAATAAACATTAATGTTGCACTGATTGCGCCCGACTCACTCGCTTTCAGTTTTCCATGATAAACGATTATTGGTGTGATGTCATATTTCACTGAATTCTTCCTGTTTTGTCATCAATCACGCGAAGTCTACCTTGACACCGCTGATCTTARCCACCAAACCTCTGAATACAACTAACGTAATGCCACTTGAGTTCGTAACTCATGTTTGATTAGCTTTGCAAAGTTTTACAAACAAACTTGACGTATCAAAAGTCATCAATAGAAACGATTGTCGATCCACAGCCGATGATTCGCTTATTGAACTCGTCACGAATTCATAATATTGGCAAAGCTTATGTAATTCTCGTGTTTTCGAAAATTTTCATTCCAGGGCAAAAAATCTTGGACACTTTTTGCTTTTATCAGCGGAAAACCGGCTATTTAAAGTCGATAGACAGCACATTGTCAGTCTATGTACGCTGCTTTGGTCGAATCAATAGCATTGCTTGACTCAACGTTAATAGRAAGTGTTGCCTGAAGAAGTCTACCTAAAATGCCCTTATACGTCGGTGAGTAGTTCAAAACACATAATATCTTCAACAAGCCGACTGTATTTCTTCTATTTAAGCGTCGGTTTATTGTTTGCATTGGTTAAACCAGACAAAGCTAGTGGAAAWTTTGAAAGAATTTTACAATTTCTCCTACTATGCAATTTACAGGGGGTCAGTAGTTTTTACTCGACGCAATTATGCGCAGTCAGAAAGCTAATCGACGAAGTTGGTCATTAGATCACCTAAGAAACTGAGTTAATGACCTAAGCCCAGTCACGACATATGCTTTCCATTTTAAAACTGTAGCATTGCTTGCAAAAAGCGCTTCGCGGTACTTGTACAAGAGAGATCTTTAGCTAAATCAGTTACTTGAATAACGAGTAATGGGCTCGATGTATTTATATTTTTTGAACTTAGAGGGACTTTGTAAAACGCATTCCTATAAGCTAATGAGAAAAATAGCTAATCTGCAAAATGCAAAAACGCGGGAAAAAGTCTGTTTTCCAGACTGTATACTATTATGAGTTGATTCAGCCAATTTGAGTCCTTTGTTTAGAGAGCTATTCATAAGTAGCATTGGGATTGACATTTCGTCTCATTTCATTTAGATTTAAGTAAATAGTAGTTTTAGTAAAATCTAAGGAAAACCCTTGCTGAATTTACTTAAACTGACTGAAAACTAAATAGTTAGAACCACATTTAATATGCTTTGATCAAACGTTTCTATTTTCATGTTTCGAAGTTGTTCAAGCGTTYAAATGTACTCTCACAATTCTCATTTACATGATATTACGTTATGCGAAATCGCTGTAATAAACTCCCATTACGTGGTTACTAATCCTTTATAAATCTCTCATTAAATGTTCATTTGTACAGAATTGTGGTTCTTTAATCTCTATTATCAACAAATAAAGCCTTAAGCCAAAACAATGCATTCACAGTTTATAATGAGGGTAAACTTATCATTTGTAATTGAACATAATAAGTTTTTTAGGATGTGCTAAACTCTTGTTCTGCACGCGAGTTTTACAAGTTGTTATAGTGCCATTGTTACAACTTGTTCAGTGGCTCATAATCATTTTCATCGTTCATTCAATAGCGATATAAAATGTTTTTTTGTTCTGTGATCGCTCTATTGATTACAAATGACGTAGTGCAAAATCTCAATGGGCAGTGAACCAGTACATTTTGGAACCTTGTTAGCCTGGTATTACAGCAAAAGTTCGATTTTACACGCATGTCAGTTCATCTGGAGTGTAATATTACATAACCTACCTCCATTTTTCACTCATTGGGCTTGGTTTTGTCCTGAAAATTATTGCATTGTTCTCAAAATCATCTGGAATTCTTTTTTTGCTCAGTTACTGGCTGCAGCACCAAAGGAGAACACTTCGTACCAATGACGTCCAACGATGTAAACCATAACTCACCGATGAATCCGCATCGCAAGCTGCACTCCGTTAGCCCATTTTCACACGATAATACGTTTAACACACGCAACAACAGACCCATTATTTACGGTCCGGAAAAAAAACTGTGTACCAAGTACCGTTGGTTAGTATTTCTTGTCTTGAGTCTTGTTGTGGTTGTTTTCGTGATGACAGGACTTTTTCTCTGGCAAGTGCACTTGAGACACAAATCTGAAGCTGCTCAGTCTATTAAACAGGTAATTGAATTGTCTAAGATAATTGCACCTCTACGTTACCTCTATATCACCGCGTACAGTCACCAGTGTTCTGAACAACACAGCTCTTCTTGATGGTACTGTGTATCTTGCATATAACTCGCTTCACGGCTTTTTTTGGCTTTTCTTTTCTTTTCTTTTCTTTTCTTTTCTTTTCTTTTCTTTTCTTTTCTTTTCTTTTCTTTTCTTTTCTTTTCTTTTCTTTTCTTTTCTTTTCTTTTCTTTTCTTTTCTTTTCTTTTCTTTTCTTTTCTTTTCTTTTCTTTTCTTTTCTTTTCTTTTCTTTTCTTTTCTTTTCTTATAATATTGTTATTGCTGTTAGTGTTATCGTTGTTGTCCTTCATTTTTGGCATGCATTGCCTGAGTTATTTCAGCGTTCATGGACCATGTCCAGAATCGTAGCGTTGCAACAAGATTTGAAAAAGGAAATGTTAAGAAYTAAAATGGCAATTTTGTCTATTTCAAGAGTCAAAAGCCTTGTCAACGGTTACCAAAGCCCATTCCTTTGCCTGATTTGCGGCAATTCCTGTCTAGCAAACTCAAAGAAATGGAAGAGTTCATCACCAAGAAAAAGGTAAGTATTCAGGCAAAACGCCGCTGAACAAAGCAGAGTATTTCTCTGTAATTTTTCCGCAGTTGTCATTTGAATTTTTTTCTGAAGTATAGTCTGAAGTTCAAGAAACAAAAACAAAAAAGTTTTGTTGACAAGTTGATTATTGCACTGTACAGATTTTTGCACTTTGCACGGTACAGATTTTGCTATTTGAGATACATGCGTTCCGGAAGAAATTTCCTATCGATTTGAAGCCGTAATGTTTCATACATTTCTTTGTTCTAATAAAGGTCGTTTTGGTTACTGCTCTTGATAAAAGTAGCTAGTACTATTTACTATACGCGGGGACGTTCCTCCAAATGGTCTTTGGTCTTCTCGTCTTGAATAGCTAGGGTATACAATTTACCTTCAGTTTTTGGCTTAAATAGGGGCTTACACTGGGCGTCAATATTGATTTTAGACCTAAAATGGAGAGACAGGGTCACAACGTTTGCCTCCGCCTTTTATTGCTAAGATGTTTTTTTTCTATTTTTTCTTTCTTTCTTTTTTTCAGACAGTCTTTTTAAGCTGCATGAATGCAAGCGCGCATACCTCGGTCTCAAAGTAGCTTGGGATATAGTCAATTAACGTACTGTAAAACTAATCTGATTAGAAAGGGCGAACAAACATTAAAAGCAATGAACTTTGCCAAGTACTTGAGAGATAAATAGTGTTATCTGTTTGTAGTTTGGTGCGCTATCGGCGAATGTCGTYTACCGTGACAATATTATCTGGAGCGGTGCGTTTGGGGTCATTAGCAGATCTGAAAAGCCTTCCAGAAAACCCAAAACCTCGTCGATCTATCCATGTGCAAGCATTTCTAAAGTTTTAACGGTATGTTTCGACCTATAAGAGCTAGGTTAAWTTACAGTTAGGAGTGAGATACTGAGTGAGGTGGGGTTGGGAAAGGACCAAATTGGGATCAAAATGTATTGTTTATGAAATCTTTATTGTGTTATAAATATTATCTTATTTATGATCTGGATTGCTTTATTTTTTATTTTTTGTAACTGGATAATCCATTCATTTTCCAGGCTTTAATAGTCTACAAGTTATTCGACGAAAGTAAAATTACGTCACTAGATGACCCCGTTGTTAAGTTTGATGCTGATTTCAAGATTAAGAACCCTTTTGATCAGAAACATAACATAACTTTAAGGTGAGTTAGAAATGACAACGAAGAACGTTGGTCGTTTTTTATAGCCTTCTTTGTAGGATCTGCAGGCAGCCCTTCCCAGTTTTTGACATTTTGGGATCTTCTTGACCGAGCTGGGAACTTGCGCCAGGAAATGAAGATGCTACCTGCAAAAAAGGACACACTTCTGTCCAACTACGCATGTCGTTCAAGCATGCATGACACATATTGATAGTGAGGAGGGATCATATAAAGAATAAAAAATGTGATTCTACATATTGTCACTATAAATCTTAAAATTTCAGCCACCGTTTTAAATTTTGTTTTGTTTCGTTTCGCTTGTTTATTTTTGTTTTGTTTTTCTATAATAGTAGACACTATCTGATATTCTAGTACTAGAGTAGCCAATCAGAAAGCAATTTTAATTATACGCTATTATTGTTTGTAAACATAACCAGTTGATGTGATTACCCCGGCTGTTCAAATGATTAATGGATGTTTTTTGTTGGCAGAAATCTTCTTGACATGAGTTCAGGAATTCCACGTGAAGCTCCATGCTATCCAAGCACAAAGAACAACCTTTGTCCGTACAATCACAGCGTGATGATAAAAAGAATCCAAAACTCAAGTTTACTGGTGGAGCCTAACACTATATTGCAATACAGGTCAGCAGTGTACTAGCTGTCAATATTTGCCTAATTGATGGGAATGGAATGTGAAAGTTAGAGCTCACTAGAGGCACGCTCTGCAGATAAAACGTACAGAACATGAATTGCATTCCACAAATCTGTTTGATATTTGTAAAATTCGAACATCTAAAGACTTACAAATTACAAATTACAAATTGTAAACATAAGGAATTGAAAAGGTCTAATCTGGGACGAAACTAGTTTTCCTTAAAATAAAGTTTCTTGGCGTGACTGTGTGTTAAAGACTTCACGTATTGGGTTTAATCCTGTCCAGCATTATGAAATTCCACAAATCATTTCCATTCTTCCATTCTTCTTCAAATCACTCATTACCAAAACAAGTTTGCATTGAAATTGAAAATCAAGAATTAAAGTACTATTCTATAAAAGCTGAAATGTTAGGCTTACTATTTCTTCTGATCTCGGGAGATCTTTAGCGCCAAAAATGTTCTGTTTTTTCAGCTCAAAGCAATGACCAAACTATGAAGACTGCATCTTTATTTGACATGAGATTCACTCTTGCGCGCAAAAAACTCGGGTCATCATCAAATTTCTAGGGCTATTGTGTTGGTAGCGTTTTTCATTCTTTATCTATTTGTTTCCTCTTTTAATTTTGTGGAAGTTTTCGAGAAAGAGCCTGTTGTAGAATAAAATACGCATATTTTCGGCCTTACTTTGGTTTGCAACTACAGACCACCTCTGAAACTTTTTTCATGCTATATGTTAAACTGTTTTCGTTTTTAAAATCACCTCTTTCGACACACTACACCAAGACTTTGAATGAAACATGTTTAACATATAGCATGAAATTTACAAACTCTTTAGTGATCAGATTTAAAAAGATTTCTAGAAAACCTCTGAAACTGTTTAGAAACAAACCTTTTGCCGCCATTTTGGATGAATGAACAGGAGAAGTTAATCCAACATGGCGGCTGTCATTCGACGTAACGTCGTAAGAATATACTACTAAAAGCCTTTTCCAATKATACATATTAATACGTGTACTGACATTGTATCTCCTTTACAGTAATTTTGGCTACGCTCTACTTGGCAATGTATTAGCTAAAGCATTTTCTGGAGGGGACTATAACGCACTAGTCAAGAAATATGTCTTGGTTCCACTGGGAATGAAGAATACGATGTTGGCGCTAAACTCGAAGTATAAATTAATTATCATATATAGGACAACCCACTAATCAATTGACAATGCTTCATCCCTAATATGAATTACAGTTATATACCCCTTGCTCTGATGTCACACGTTTGCTAGCAACGGTTGCTATCCTGCTCCTGGGGGTCAACTTCGCATTGTTTATGTATGGAGTCTGTGTAAACTTTGCACATTATTATGATTATATATCAGGCGAAGTCAATCAATTTATTTACCACAAAAAGTACTCTAAATTACCATTCGTTAATATATATCACTTAAAGTTCATAATCATCCGTAAATTATCATCTGAGTATATTTATATATCAGGAATGTTTTATAATGTTTTGTTCAGACAGCTAAATGATGTACCCAGAGCATATATCGATGGTAAACTTTCTTCGGTGGTCAACTGGGGCTGGCTCGACCCTGCTGCAGGTTTTTTCACCACGGTGGAAGATCTATCTAAGGTAGATCAAGTTTGCGAGTAAATGTATGTGTGAAGTTTATCATTCGACGTTAGCGTTCTTCATTTACCAAAAATTTTCCATTCCCTTTATTTACCTTAAAGGGGTTTTCTTTGTGTTACTTCCTTTGACAGACGGTTGTCAAATTAACTGCATAGAATTTCCAGTTTATCCCAGCTTACCAGCTACGTCAACTAAAAGTTTATTTTAATAACATTTTAATTTTATTCTATTTTAATAATATTTTGATGTTAAAACATCATATCTTTTCTGCTGTTGCAGATTGTAGATTTACTTTTGCCTGCACGTTTTACTTCCGCCCGCCATATTTGCCAATATAAACGGAAAAAGGAATATCGCATGTCCAGGGCCTCCAGTGATGTCATACCATGTTAACCACGCTTCCGTGTATTTATTTTAACATTAAACCAGACTAGAAACGACACTAAATCTTTATATATTTTATTATTTTTAGATGGTGATACATCTAATGTCAGATAGCAATAAAGATCGATACCTGTCAAAATACACAACAAGACTTCTGTTTTCTATTGGTAAGTATTCTCTTGAAAGGATTGTGGATAGAAGGAGCTGGATGGCTTCTAAAGCCTTTTTGCTTATATGACTAGTGTCCATAATTGCCAAAATCGTCCCAATCGCTTCAGTGAAACGCGTTTTCTATTGTTAATCTCTTGAGGAAACAAGAACAATAGAAAAACGCGTTTTGGACGATCGGCATGATCATATTGACCGCGGTTCTAAAGCAAAAAAAGTGAAAAATCTGGATGACCCCGTTTTGACCCCGTGACCGACACTAAATAGTGAGAAATTATACACTTTTAAACAATCGCTCAACGGACAATCTTAACCAATCAGACCATTGATCTAACATTTGATCTGGCTAAGTATCTTCAAATAAAGGTCATCATTTTATCACYCAGACTTTGGATAGATTTTAATTTTTTTACGTCTCTACTTCTTTATATTCTATTTTTCAGCCAATGTCATGACCGATGGTGTAACAATTACTGGAACACCTTGGGAAATGTCGCCGATCGACGGTATCGTACACAGAACTAAGGGCGGATCAATATATGGGTACAGAGCTTTAGTTGCAATGGTTCCAGAATTGCGAATTGGTATATTCTCCGTTTATGAATGCTATCTTTACATCTCGAGAGAAAGACTCCTTTATGTCAGCCGGGTGGGATGGGGATGGGTTTTCTTTTCTCGAACCATCATCAGGGATCAAAATCAACGTGATCTGGTATATCCTTAATTATGGGTATCACCTTTGAGTTTATTCCTTCATATATCTATATCCATGTCCAAAATTCAGGATGAGGATCCCTACCCTCTAATATAAAGGAGTCTTCCGGGGATTTCCGGGGATTTACTCCAGRCAATGCTTCCTGTGYACTGTTTTTTACTTCTTTTATTGTTTTTAGCTTTAAAAAGCTTTGGATCGATTATCATGGTCCTATARCCTTGTGACGTCATGTGGATTTTCCGAGTTCTATTTCAAAATTCAAAATGGCGCGTGATATTTCATAAAATTGGCAGAACCTTTGATAACATTGCTACTCTATAAATACGAACAAACCCTCACAAACCTCTGTCTTGTATATGTGAAGAGTAGAGCTATGCTGAAGCGAATGAGGTGCGGACAACTGCTCACCAAACAGCCTGGCACTGACTCAATAACGCGGCTGCTATTAAAAGTTCTACTACTTCAGACGTTCACCTCATGATTGCAACTCTCCAGAAAACACATGRTGTCATAAGTCGACTACTTTGTTCRGTGAAACTACAATGCTTCATAGTACACTATACTAGCTTGAAATGTTCTCTGCCTCACCATGTCAACGGACGCACACACATAGTTCATAGTTTTTATGTGTGCAATCCCATCTTTCATCTCGATGCATTGAAATGCTTTTAATTGTTATTTTTATTAATATTTTTTTCAGCTATGAATGTGCTTTGCTCTAATTGCGAGGAATTTATATACAGTTTGGTGCAAACGTACTTTGACGCCAAGATTGTTCCTGTATTAAGACAACATTTAAGCAAACTTCAACAAATGGTAATCTCATGATGATTGCGCACCGCTTCTTCGTGTTGACACACGCTTTTTCGTAAAAACAACATTGTAGGAGTATTCTCTCAGTGCTTTTTTTCTCTATCGCTCAAACTAACAACAAATTAGAGAGTTTGCCCAATAGAAGAAAACGTCCTGGCTAGCCTAGTCTCCTTGCAGCCGTGTTTCGTTTCGGTCAGGCGTCACGCAACCTGGTGTGGAGAGGTTGCGTGACGCGTGACCGAAACGAAACACGGCTGCGAGGAGACTATACTTAGCCAGGAGTAAATCTAAAATTAAAACCTTTTATATTTCAGAAAATAGTACTTCCACCAAATTATAGTGCGTATGTTGGTACCTATGTAACAAATGACATTCCTGATCTCCGATCATTTGTCATCGTCAAAGAAGACAAAAAGTTATCGGCTTACGTGAACAAAGTACCATATTTTTATCTTAATTACACTGCACCAAGAACATTCAAGGTGGTCATCAACACAGACCAAATGAGCTGTTTGAACGAGTACGTTATTGCCAACGTAAACGAAGTTTTAGTGTTTGATGAAATCTCTAGCAGAGATGACTTATCGCACGGGTTTATCGCAAGTGGAGCAAGCCCATCAGGCAAAGCATACCTTTACCGAGCACCATCGAAGTAAATATTTATATGATATAGGCATCATCAATTACTATTACGTCATATCACTTGGACGTCATCATTCACGTCACGTCGAACCATCGTGGAAACGTGCGCTTGCACGATAGCATATTGTAAATGGTGTTCCACAGGGATGAGTTATTGGACCGCTCACGTGGTTGCTAGTTAGTGCGAATTACTCTAGAAGGTGATGACGTTACTGAAGATGATGAATAATTATCGTTCTTTCGCGTCTTCTGTTGTGAATCAGGAATGCAATATAAAAATTAAAGACTGGTTAAAATGTAAAAATCGTAAACACAACAATATTATTCCATGGGTGTGTACCTGTTCAGTTTGGAACAATTGYTGTTTAAAATTATATGAATCAATAGAACTAATATCCCTTTACAAGGGGTAAATTTCAGTGATTGACACGACCACGCCCAAGCTCACATGACTTTCCTTGAGTTCTTTCAATCCCTTTTTTATAATTTTCAGTGCCTTCCTCATAATATGCGAAAGTTTCCYGTATCACTCGAAATTTTCATTTCACAACATTCAAACCTGAATATTCGAAAAGCTTAAACGTTGAACATAATATTTATAAAAATATAAATCATATTTTTAAAGGATCTTTCTACTTTTTTAGCTAACGATATAAAATAGTACTATAGATTGAAAATGGGTTTATATYTGTGTGTAATAAAATTACTGTATGCATTTTTTTTTCAGTCGCTCTACCTTAGGTAATACATATCATATATATTTTTTAGATAACTATAACACGATTCAGTTAGTTACTGTTTTACTTATTGTAGATATTGTATATATATGTAAAGCTCGCTTAGTCTTGCATAATTAGAGTAAATTTCGTATGAGTGGGAAACGTACGGTAAAAATTACCGCACGGTTACCGCACAGTTACCGGACCTGGCCTGCACAATTTTTGTGAACCAATGGGGCACTAGTSCGGTTACAGTGCGATTACGGTCACAGTACAGTACCGTCCGTTTCCCACTCATACGAAATCCGCTCTAGTATTGGTATAGACACTTATGATTATAGAAGTTATTTATCTTTTATTGTTACTCAATATGTATCCATAACATTGTAAATAGTTTCGAAATAATTCCTTACATAAAGCCTTACTTGTTGACATGTGATATCGCTCCTTGATGGTAGTTAATACCGTTATTTAGACTTACTATATAGGGTCAGCTAATTATAAAAAAGGGATTGGTGGGAGAAAACATGAAATTCAAAGACATCTGTGAGAACAAAAATTTCAAGAAAAAAATGCACACAAAGACGAAAAATAATCTAAAAGTAGAAGAAGTCGGCAAGACACTTGACAATGATTACAATTTGAGAGTTGTAGCTTCGCAACAATGTGCATGCACATTGTATCATTGTTTTTGGTTGAACTTGGCTTGAACACCATCATAATTTCAC